CTGTTAGGAAGCAGGGCCTGCAGCAGAGTCAGTGTCCTGGCACCCCAAGAAGCACAGTGGGTCTGCAGCAGGCTACCAGATTGATTGCTCAGGAAGGGCAGCTGGCTGGCTTTTGAACCCAGCAACATCAGCTCTCTGGCTGCTCAGTGGGTCTCAAGCCCTCAGCTGTGCTTGTTCTTATTCCAGCCTTGCTCCTGTTTTGTTCCAACCATGGATCCTTTTTTGCTCCTCCCTCTCTGGTACTGATCCTTGGCTCTGCTTCTGGCTTATGGCTCTGGCATTAGGCTCCTATCTCTCCATTTCTGACCTTTGCCTGGTTCCTGGGCTCTGCCAAACCTGGACCCAGCTCAGCTTACCAGTTAGAACTCTCACTTGAATCACTAAGCCAGATGGCCCATGGTCCAGTGTCTAACAGGTGGGAATAAGACCCAATGGCCCTTTCCAAAGAGCAGATGCAGTAATCTCAGTGATATCCTGATCACCATTCTGTTTCTTACATCCACCTCCCTTCCCAAACTGGTACGGAGAAGAAAATGCTGCAAGGGTTTGTATGTGTGATCTCTTGCTAATACCATAAAGTTTCTCTTCCTACACAGTCACTGCACTTCCAGGGTTTTTGTTAATAAAGATCTTTGGGAATCTCATGCATGAAAAGTGCCAGAGGTACTAAATATTACACTCCTACTGATTTATTATTTTTAAGATATTTATTCTAACATACTGCTTCTGATATTAATTTTTCCAAAGCAATCTGATAGGTGGAAAAACTACACCAAACTGTTTAAAAAAAACCCCATACACACTGAAAACATTTACACCCCTCCCCCCAAGCCTGCTGCAATCATCTGAATAAAAATATTCTGAAGACAGGATATGGTATGGAATGGAACATTGATTCATAAATATTAATTTGGCATAGGTTCTTTTAAAAATCTCTGTCCCTGGATAAACGTCCTAAATACATAAGTGTCTTGAAACAGTTGGGCATGTTGTGATGGTTATATTGGAAATGCCTGCTTATGCTGCCCTGAAAGCATCAGCTGCCAAGCAATATGCTGCCTTTGAAGGCTCCTGTCTACAGTAGTCCCCTTCTGTCCCCCCACTGACCCTGAATTGCTATAATGTGTGCTTCCTGACTGCAAAATGTAACTGTTGCACTTTTGGTCCTCCAATCAGACGCTGGAGTTGCTGAGTTCTGTGACATTTGGTTAAATTATGAATTACTCTTTGGGGGGATTCTGTTCCACTGCATATGCATGGAGTTCATGGCCCCAGTAGATTTAAAAAAAAATGCCTATCTGAATGGGAAGCAAAGGGAGACTGAAAGAGAGTTCACTCACCCCTCCCCAGCAGCGCAGGTATGTTGTTTCAGGCACCTGGATCAGCTGGTAGAGAGGGGCACTGGGACTGAAGTCTCAGCTGGTAGCTTCTACTTTGCACTGGACTCAGCTGCTAGTCCCAGTTGGGGTGGGGGGGACGGGACTTCCTCTTCTCTTACAAGGAGCTGCTTCCATTGTGGACATGGCTCGCAGTTTGGTTCAATGGCTCATAGCACCTCCCCTATAAAAATTGTTCCAGCACTCCTGGCCCAACCACGTTCACGTATAGAATCCCTTTGCCCTTGCATCTGGAACAGTCCCCCTCCAAATCCTGTTCCACACCTGAACACACCCAGATTGCCCCACACAGAACCCACTAATCCCACACCTGGATCACCCCTTGCACTTGGATTCTGCTGGACTGAGCCTGCCTGCTTGTGCTTAGTGTCAGGGTCGGTTGCAGCCTCATTGTTGTGTCTGTGTCCGGAGGCGGGGCAGAAATGCTTCCGACTGCCATGCTGGAACCTCCATGTTTGTTTATTGATACAATTTGCAGAATTTTAAAATATTGTGTGCAGAACTTAAATTTTTTGGTCCAGAATTCCCTCATGCGTAGTTAATGATGTATTCCTGATATACTACTTAAATCAGCCTTGGAGATGCTTTTAACTCCATGGACCTTGCGGATCAAGAAACAGTTAAAATAAGACTCGTGGATGATACCTCATATCTAATAATTAGGATGAATTTTACTTTCATATTCTCAGGCAGCCAGGGAGACTGGCTAGTAATAAGGCCAGAAGTTGGGAATGATAAATTTGTGTCTCCAGCATGGTGGAATGGGGGTGGGGGAGTTAGGCTTTGAAGATAATGTGCTTTGGAAACCTGTGTGGCGCTTCTGTCAGATTAGAATTGGAGAGACAAGAATGTCTACCAAACAGAAAGAGAGATTCTGTGTCCATTGTGCACTAAACATCTACTGGCAAGGGAGAAATGCCTTATTGGTGCCCTCTAGTCTTAAATGGTGAATCTCTCACTAGGCATAGAGGAAAAAAAAGAATTAAAAAGAAAATGAACAGTGTTGTGTTTTTGTAAAGTTTCTAGTGTTAATGTAGGTTTATGCACCATTTTTATGTCATATTTTACATTGACAGATAAGGAAGGGAACCACTTTTCTATATTCTGGGTACTGGCGAGTATTCTCCTTGGTGCAATAGCCATGCTGTGCAAAGAACAAGGAATTACAGTACTGGTAAGGTCTCTACATAACCACTAAATTCTGGCCTGAGTATCCATAAGCTACTACTGCATACATGTTGCTGCAAATCTTCATATCCAGAAACAGCTTGGATTGTGCTTCTGCATTAATCAGCCTGTTAAGAAAATTGGCTTATGAATGTTAAACATTGACCTCGCCAGGCTTTCTTTTCCTATGGTGCCTGGTGTGTCTAACGTGATTCATTTTGTACTTGTTTTGTGTCTCTGTGATTAGCTTGCATGTGCCTATAGAAGTCTCTACTTGCCCTCTTTGTAGGTGGTATAATTCCAGTTTCAGTTTGTGCTACACTGGGTACCTCTGTTCTTGCATGTCTGATTGTCATCTTGGGCCCTTGCTGCCAGCAAATCTGCAAAGGATATTGTTCATTAAATCCATTGTGATAAATGGCTGAAAGTTTTCAAATGCCCTGTATCCCTTTTTTAAACAACTATTGACACTCCCTGATTCAAAGTGGCTGTTCTGGTTATGTATCCTTTTTACTGATCATCTTTCTTATTTTAAGCACAAATTTAAATAGGCACCTTCTTTAAGTTCATGTGCTTCTGCATCTTTTTACTCACCTGAGGTCATCCTATTTTTGATAATCCAATTACTTCAACAGTAGCCTACTGAGATGCCAAAATTGGGCTGTATTTGTACAGCTGCAGCTATAACTGGGCAGGGTGGCATAGTAGAACAGATGAATACTTAAGGAAAGAAGAACCTTGTTCATATTATTCTTAGTCTAAAGAAGAGAAAATAAATTTCAGAAGACATATCCTGGAGCATAAGCAGAATTGTTTTGAAATAGATTTGCTTTCTTGTAAGGGATGTGTGGGAGACATCAGTGTGTCATGTGTGGGAGCCACATAAGTGGCTCTCTAACTTAAGGTGTGTTGTTTCTCACACTAACATGACAATAATGTTTGAGTAGATGCCTAAGCTTTTATTTTCTGGCTGCCTTTGTTGATGTTGCATTTTCAGGATGATTATATTTGTCCCCAACCTCGGGGATAGGGGCTTCACACTAACAGAATCATAGGCCAAACGAAGTAAAAACAAGGCTAAAAAGATCCATAGAAGCCAAATGTAAAAATGAATAGTGCCTCATGCTGAAATGTCCCTTTCTAGCTGGATCCCTGCCTCCTTCATGCACAAGTACTGTGAACTTTTTTATTGTAAAGATAGGATGTGTGCAACATATACATTGTCATGAAATAGCATGTCAGAATAAAAGGGTATTGAGAGTTGATGGCTATATAGGACCTGATTCTGATCTCCATTAACTTCAGTTATTTAGCCTGTTTTTAAGGTTTTTGTCTGGCAAAATGCCATAGAATTTCGCCAGTGGTTTTTAGCACCTTGTAGGATTGGGCACTTAACATTGTGGCAATTTCAATGAGAACCCCGCCTGGATCATTTGTAACTCTAAGCTATTGCTCTGGCAACCTGTGTGTCTCTTTAAAGGAAAAGGCAATTTGAACCCATGCAGCCAAAACATGCTTGGTGTTTCACAATCAGAATTGCGGGTTGCGTGCCTTTTAAAAAAAAAACCACTTTATTGTACTAGTCCCTATGACTGCAAACCCTGGGCTGCAAAAGGGGTGAGGAGAACAGAAGGCGGGTTGGGGAGGAGGTAATTTACTCATGCCTCCTGTTATACATGTACAAGCCAGGAGCCTGGCTGTCTATATACATATGCATAGTTTCCTACAGGCATGGTTTCCTACAGTATTCTGTTCAGTTCTTGGAGGAATTGGCTGAATCCATTTGTAACCGGTTCGGAATCAAAATTAAGCTGTACAATAATTCGCTATAGCAGTAAGATTTTTGAAAATATCCTTTGAATAAACGAGTTCTTCTTTGTTCCTGTTATTTAGGGTGTGAACGCTATCTTTGATGCTCTGGTGATTAACAGACTAAATATTTTGGAAGTTATTCAAAAGGTACTACATAAAGACAAATCATTGGAGGTGAGTGCACTCTATCTTAGTTCATTCTGGCTATTCAGGCAATAAAAAGGATGCAATTTTTGAAGATTCTGGGAGTGAAATAAAAAAAAACTAGTTATAATTTCAGAGTCAGCAAAACAAGGCAATGGTCTGGAACATATCTGCAGCAACATGGATGACCATGGTAGAGTACTGTTGTATCCACCAGACTTACGCCTACTCTTTTCACTGCAATATAAAAGAAGCAATGTCTGAGTATTTAGGAAAGCTGCCTCTGACATGGAATCAGTCCCAAAACCAGTTTCCCTGGTCAATAACCAGAAGCCAAAACTGGAGGTTGACAACATTTCTTTGGCAAAGCAAAGAGAGAATTATTTATCTAGCTTCACAAAATAAAATAAGGCGGAAAAAGCAACTTACAGCATGTACAACAGTATTTGTTGCATAAGAGAATCGCTTTCTCTTTTGGCAATCCAGCTCATATACTTTCTTTGCCCAGAATGCAACTTGACAAGAAAGAAAGAGACTTCCTAGTATTGCTGTGAATGAGAACCCAGTTAATCCACTGGCAGTCACTGGAGGATAAACAAATGACAACAGTGAACTCTAGCTCATCCATTATCAGCTTAGGTTAAATCTGGCATGTCACACATGCAATGGTAAGCACATCCCAGCATTGAGTAAACTTTCGCTTGCAATTGGATAGTCCCTCAAGAGAAGTGAGTTACTAATGACAAATTAATTATCTGTTCCTCCTTTGGGGAGGGTTGAACAAGGCAGAAAAATCTTCATTAGACATTGCGTGGTGCGAAATTTTAGAGACCCATTGCTCCCCTGGTGCTTAGTTTAACTTCTATGGAGCTTTCATAAGCTCTGCAAGGATAAAGTGTGCAGTAAAGACCCTTTGGAGCTTCAGGGGGGATCTCAGTAAATGAGAGTGGACTCCGTAGAACTGAATCAGCCAATTTGAGCAAAGATAGCTAGCTTGAGGGAAAGGGGTACTTCTAGCAGCAGAGGAGTAATAGAGAGTTCAGCAGTGTAATTTGACTAATGTCAGTCAGTTTAATAGAAGTGAGGAGTCTTGGGATCGGTAGGGGACTAAAGTAGAACCACTTCAGAGTTTCAATGAGGAAAATGCTTCAAAGGTAAAAGAAAGTCACTGGAAGAGCTTAAAACATTGTTTCTGGTTTACAATTTTAAATCGTTAGGCTATGTGTGGGAAAACTACAAGTGCCGGTTATTTCTTGAAAATAAGGAGGAAAATATTAATATTGCATTAATTTTAGCTTCTCTAGCCTCCAAAAGTTCTTCTGATTTGTGTATGAAAATGTATCTAAGTCTTTGTATATAGACACTTTCAAGTTTCTTATAGTCCGCTCTCCCCGAGGCTAAAGAAACACTAAACTTCTTTTTATCAAAATTTAGGTCCAGACCATCTTTTCAGATTTAAGCCTCAATCTTGAACAAAAGAGCAGTGACACTTCTAGCTTTTGTTTGTTTAAAATTTTTTCTCTCTACCATGATGATTTTCATGTAAAATTCCCTAACCACATTTAGTGGAGAATGTACTAAAAATGAAGTCATAATGGACCATTAGGGGCTGTTTTAAGAATGGATATCTTGCCCATTGGTTTAGTCACACTTTAAAAAAATAATTACCACCAGTTTCCCTAATTAACTGGACAGCTTTCATGTATTAACTCATATAATTTTTATAGTGAATAGATTGAAATGGAGAAACCCACTTGTTAACAATAGTTAAATATTTCAATTGCATTTATTAATTAGATACTTTTAAAATTAAGTGCTCACAGTATATTGCTATTAATTCTCAGCTTATTGTTCTTTCCATCATGCACTATGCATACTTACATCTTACATCTTTTCCTCAAACCCCTTGACATAAACTGACTTGAGAAATAACTTAAACTTCCAGAGACTGGTAGAGATGCTTCTTAAAGAAAAATTGTTTTTTTATTGTAATTCATCAATAAAATTTTGTTTACAATAAGTTTTTCTTTTCAAATGAGTGAACACCACAAAATAAAACCAGAAAGAAGGGAATTCTCAGACTTCATTATTGTTTCTTGATTATTGTTTCCCAAACCCCCTACAATATACCAGATGCTGTACAATCAAAAGAAAGCACAGTGCTTTTCCTCAAGAACTTTTCTTTATAAAGTTGCCTTAAAACAAGTAGATACCAAGTAGGAAAATTTTGTTCAATGTCTATAAAACATTTATGCCATTTGATATTTAGAATACACAAATACCATCTTCTCTCCAGATTTTTCTGTTTTAAATGGGTGGGAAGAAGTTTTGAAGGTGTTAATAATTTGTCCTGCTTTTGTTTTCTCCTGTAGAGTGGTGGCTTGTTTAGAAAGGGACTCTTCTTCAGGATAACTCTTCTGTTGTTGGGAGGGGCCACGATGCTCTGCATGCGTTGGAGAATTATGGGTACAGGACCACCTGCTTTTACTGAAGTAGACAACCCAGCTTCGTTTGCAGACAGCTTGTTTGTGAGAGTAAGTCACAAAACTTTCGTACTTCCACAAGTTCAAAAAAATACCCAATAATAGAGCTGGGCTTTTTTCACATTGCCTCATATTTTGGGAGATTATATATGTGGATCTGGATGGGACAAAGGGCTATGTACAATTGGATCTCCCATCCTCAATAAAAAAAGCATCCAGCGTATGGAAATATTTTTTTTATAAAAATCATTATGATTTTTTAAAAATTCAAAATGAATGGACCTGTACATAATTGAAATCATGCAGCGCTTCAGTTAGGACACTTAGTATTTTAGAAGATACATTTTGGGGATGGAAAGGGAAACAAAGATCACAAAGAAAACTGCTGAAGTTAGGTTTTTTTCAGAAGTTTAGTATCAAATAAATGTTTGTTTTCCTTTGACTGACAGGCTATAAACTATAATTACTACTATTCGCTGAATGCATGGTTGCTGCTGTGTCCCTGGTGGCTGTGTTTTGATTGGTCAATGGGCTGCATACCCCTTATTAAATCAGTCAGTGACTGGAGAATAATTGCACTAGCAGCACTTTGGTTCTGCCTAATTGGCCTGATATGCCAAGGTCTGTGCTCACAAGACAGCCATAAGAGAAGGTAAGAGACAGTGCTGAATTTTAAATTCCACACTAGGTTAAGTACAATATTATTTTGTTAAATCTAGTACTGATCATTTTAACAATTCACTGGAACCAATATCTAGCAAATGTATTTCAAATAAATATTTATAGCTATTATTACAGTTTCATCCCAATTTGGGCACTGACTACTGGGAAGCAAACTTGTAGAAAGTAGTATGGATGGCTGCTTTATTTTCCTCCTGAAATGGCATTTTGAGAATCTTAGCACTGTAGGTGGTAAAAAGTAATTTGTGGTCAGAGCAGAGTGTAATTGATGTGTGTTGTGCCCCTCTTTTAACAATTCTTTTTTCTTCTTTTGTAATAACAAAAAGGGGCCCTTTTTTTGAAAAGATGTAGTGATTCTGGCCATTGATTAAAAATAAAATGCTATCCCAGAGTGATGATTCTTTTATCAATGAAGGGTTATTGAGAAAATAATTGTGGGGAAAATTGTACTTCATAGAAAATCAACCCAAAAGCTTCTGTAAATAGAAGCCTTTAATATGATAAAATAATTTAACATCTTTCCTGATATGTTTAGGTTGCACTTTTGAATGTCCTTAGCTGATAAATTTGTCAGCTTTCAAATTATATAAACAATTTAATCCATTGTTTAAAGTTTTATCATCTTCTGTGGTGCCAATTTTTTCCCTCTAAATAATGATCTATTGTATATTTCCCTTTCCCCTGTGCTTTTACCAGTTTGCACAACTTAAGTCATTACTAAGTCAGTACTCTCTCATTTAATATAGACACAGAAGCAGTTAGACACACACACACACACACACACACACACACACACACCAGAGTATGATTAAATGCATAAGTTGCAATTTTAATAAACTATTAATCAGCAAAGAACTCTCTCCCAAACTATCTGGTAAGTCTGTTCAGTGTGCGATTTAAGTGTGTGCCAGTAGCTACAGGGTCTACAAGTCTCAAAGGCCTAGGCCTACGGAGGCAGTCTGGCAAAAAGTCAGAGCTCCAACCTGTTCCCCTCATAATACTGGAGGTAGGAGAGGTAAAGGCATGGATCCCTTTACTATACAAAGCTGTGATTGAGGCCCATGCTCAAGAAAACCCATTGAGTTACAAGAACCTCACCTAGGATATATTTTTAATTCTCCCTCCATCCACATTCCTGTGTTAAAATAATGCAGCAGACAAATGTGTGACATATGAAGTATAAATTCCAAAATCAGGCTACTTGGATTTTTGATCAAAGGTGAATCCCCACACATGTGGTCTTTTGTCATGGTGTGTGTGTGTGTGCGGGGGGAGGGGGGAATTCTTCCAGACCCCTAATAAAATTTGACCATCAGTATAACCTCAAAGGGAGCTAGTAAACTAAGAAGGGGGTAAGGGTGTGGCTGGAACAAAGCCAAAATGACTACAGGCCAGCAGTGGACAGAAACAACACTTCCTTCCGCACCCTGCCTCCACAGTTGGGAGCTAGTCAGTGGGTTTTCTCTGATCTGGTCATCCAATGAGAGCTGCAGTGTTTAAGTCAGGCTTAGTTGCAAGCCACTCCCTTTTCCTTTTGGAGTGGGAGAGGAGGGAAGGCTAATGAAAGCCCAAGTTTCTGCCTTTGTTTCAACACAGAGAGTCAATTGGCCAGCACTCATGCTCACCTCTAAACTAACAAAAAAAAATTGAAAATGCTGTGAAGACCTAGCTCATTTTGGAGTGAGTGGACCCAGCTTTCATTTCAAGTTCCAAAATTGTATTCTAAATAAAAATAAGTGTAAAAATACATGTTTTAAAGTAATAGATAGCTATCTTGATGTGGGTCTCCTTTATGATGAACAGGGCAGCTTTTTGACATGAAGAGTTGACTTCTTTGATAGGTTTTCTATTGAAAAAATGGGTTATTTCAAGTACAGTTTCTTCCTTAACAACTTTACGATGTATCTTTGAGTTAGCTTTTTAAATAACACTCAAATAAAATGCTTTTTAAAACACTCAAATATTTTACCTTAGTTAGTCACATATTAGTTTGAAAAATGTGTAGATAGCTGTAATCATAGTTTTATTGCCTGTATATTTGGGTCAGGGAGAACAGAAATAATGATTTCCAGTTTATTAGGGTCATTTTGTGTCCCAGAATCCAAGTGCTTGACTCCAGTTTAATTTTGTGGGAAGTGTGGCTGGATTTTCAGAGAAGCCCGGGAGAGTTAGGCATCCTGATCCCATTGAAATTCAATGGGAGATAGACAAGAACAGGTAAGTCCACATAATGGCTCCAAATGTCTAGTGAACCATTTATATTTATTAATAGAAACATTTTTTCTTCTAAATTTTGTTGCTGAATTGTGAGTCTGTTTCTTATTTCCAGAATTCTTACACTGGGACTGGGATTTCTTGTTATCCCTTTTCTTCCTGCAAGTAACCTGTTCTTCCGAGTAGGATTTGCTGTTGCAGAGAGAGTCCTCTACCTCCCCAGTATTGGCTACTGTATGCTACTTACATATGGATTTGGTCTGTTGAGCAAACAAGCTAAGAAAAAGGTACTAATGAACAGTCAATAAAGTTGATGACCAAGACTAGTGGAAGAGTTTTAAAACAATGATTATTAACCCAATATCTCGTTTCTTCAAGAAAATGCTTGCTGCTGCGGTTCTTGGGATCCTGTTGACTAACATGCTGCGGTGTGCTATCCGTAGTAACCAGTGGCGGTCTGAAGAACAGCTCTTTAGGAGTGCTCTATCAGTGTGCCCTCTCAATGCTAAAGTAAGTTGGTCATGCTCACTTTTTATTTAGTTTTGTGATATTCCACATCATGTATATATTGCAGTACTGTGTCTCATGTACAGTGCTAGCCTGGTGAAAGCAAAGCCTAAAATGGACACCTGAATTATAGTAATAGCATTGTCAACTTCTCAGCTATTGCAAGTTACAGTACTTCAATTCAAAACTGAAAAAGATTAAAATAAATTGACTTCAAGGAAGACCTTGAGTCAAGTAAGAAAAGAGCAAATACAAAATACATAACTAGTACCATCTGTTGAAATAGTCACATAAATAAATGACTTTCTACAACTGTCTCATAGTCTGTGTAAACAGAAAAAATAAATCCTAAAAGTGTATTCAACTGATTTGCTGGGGTATTTAGAATCCTATTTTTGTCTACCTCAGTGGTATTAGTACCTTTCTGCTTTTTCTCCTGTTAGCTGTGCTGCCTCTCAAGGGCTATGGGAGAATGAACTCAATCACTCATCTCAACAGAACTGCAGAGTCTATGGGTGTGATTCTCACTTCTGCTCCTTGACATCCATTAAAATGGCCAGAATGATGAAAAGGAGCCATAAAAGCCTCCAATATGGACAGAAAAGTATTCCCTTGTTGCAGGCCCTGCAGAAAACAGCCAAAGGCTGCCTTCAGATAACCCCCTTGCAAGCCCTGGCTTAGGGGGAAAGTTGGGGTGACGCTGGAGGGGACTTGTCAGTTATGGGCACCGGGATTCCATAGGGCAGCCCTGAGTCGGCCATAATGTAAGTCCCCAGGGCTATCTAGGTTTGTTCCAGGTCTCTAACTCCTGGAGCAGCCCAGTATCAGGAGAGTTAAAAGCCATTGTAAACCACCCACATTCTTGGGCTGTAAGTTCTGTGCTGCCACTCTAAAAGGTGCAGCGTACATCACCTTCTAATACTAGCATTATTTTACAGCCTAGAAAAAATAAAGCTTGAATTTTGACACACAACCCCAGTTGAGTTTTCAGGCTGGCAGCAAGAAGGGAATGTTCCCCATCTCTCTATTTGTAAACTATTACGGTTTTTGCCATTTTTTTGACGTACAAGAGCAGTTTAAATTTCATTCACATTTTGCGCATACTAGTTGAGATTTCCATTGGGCAACATCTTCCTAGAAAAATATCTTACCGGCTTACTGAATTTCAGAGCTCTATAGTCTAGAAATGTCACAGAAAATATGGATCAGGACCCAAAGTCTTGTGGAGTTGAAATTGAATGTTTGAACTGCTTAATTTACAAAATTAATATAAACATTCAACTTGGAGAAGTGAAAAATATACAGATTAATTCAAGAGAGCTATACAGGGGATACCTTTAAAAAGATCTTTTGCCCACATTTACAACAAGGTGAGACGTACCACTCTTAGGGTACGTCTAGACTACATGCCTCTGGCCCCAGAGGCATGTAGATTAGGGTACCGGACGTAGTAAAATGAGGCGGCGATTTAAATAATCGCCGCTTCATTTAAATTTACACGGCTGCCGCGCTGAGCCGACAAACAGCTGATCAGCTGTTTGTCGGCTAGCGCTCTAGTCTGGACGTTCCCCCTGTCGACATCAAAGCCCTTTGTCGGCAGGCCCGGTAAACCTCATTCCATGAGGAATAACGGGGCTGCCGACAAAGGGCTTTGGTGTCAGCAGGGGGGG